TTAAGGTCTGATCGCCATACGCTTCAAAGTTTTATAATAAATAAATTTATAATAATAAAGAAATGAACACATCTTTTTTTTTAAGGCGAGGAAATTTACTTTTGTCCCAAAAGTCAAACAGGACATTTCCTTTAAATTTTAACTTTTAAGATGGGACTGAAAAACCCACTAATGGAGCTTTGGTTGATTGACAAGGCTGGCTGATCTCCTTCAGAGCAAACATCTTCATCATCCTCTCATGATGCCACGGCGCCCCGCCATGATGCTACGCCTTTTTAGACTGCTATTAGCAGCACTTGCTGCTTTCCAGCACAAAATGGGTTCAGATGCGATCCGAAGACATTTATGTTTCCTCTTCTGGAGACACGAGCTCCAGAGTAAAGCTTCTCGGATTTCTTCCTCTGCTGTTACCTTTGAGCTTCATGTTCATTCAGTCATTTTTTTGAGCTGCCGGTTTTGATGCAAACACTCCTGTCAGAACCTCAGCATTTTGTAAAGAACATCTGATCACAGGGAATCATTTTAAAAGCACACCCTAAGCCTTTTCTGTTTCATTAAAGGCTTTGAACCAAAAAATAAATAATGGTTATAGCTCCACCATTTCCCTCCTTTTTACCCCCCTGGAACAGAAAGATCGTCCCAAACGGTGAAGACGTGAATAAATTCTGTTTTCTTTGCTGTGTCTCACCAGCCTTTTCTTATTTTTTTGTGTGAAACAGGTGAGGAAGGAAAGATGGCCTACAGACACGTGGAGATCTCTCAGGACGGCTTGCCCAGACTCTTTGCTCCGGGAAGCATGGCCAGCACCGCCTTCTAACAGCCAGCAGCACATTCAGAGGATGAGGAGGACCAGGAATCCACTAATCTTCCTTTGAAACTGATAGGAAGTCGTCACAAACACTGAATTTGATCCAAGATATTAAGTGAAACCCTAAAGATTAAATGAAGTCTTTTTCAGATTATCTCAGCTCAAACATTCCCTGGGTTCACGCTCCAGCGCCTGTTTTAATACGGAACAGTGAATCATTTTAGGTTTTCACTTTTTCTACCGATTATCGCCGCTCCTCTGGCCGTCCGTCTCCACAGCAGGCGCCAGATTGACGCGCACATGGATTCTCTGGAGGGTTCGTGGTGCTTGAAGACAGAGCTTCACCGTGGAAAATGGAGCCAATCAGCTGTGGCGGTTCTTCCTTCTCCACAGGACCTGGATCTCCTGCAGCTCGGATTCAATGTTTGCCTGCAGCAGAAAGGCAGCAGCTGGACTCTACTCCACCTGTTGGTGTTAAAGGAGCTCCTGAAGGAAACCAACACAGACTGAGCCTCACATATTAACCCTTTATCATGAAATACCTTTAATCCTGTCACTTTGCCTTATTTTCTCTCAGAGAAACTTTTTATTACTCCCAGTTAAAAAGTTTCAATCCATTTTTAAAAGCGTTTAAAGCCGAGGTTTGTCGGCTTTATCCAGATGTCATCCAGCTGCTGCAAATGAGAAGGCATCACAAAGACGCATTAAGCATTAGAAGGCCTCACTAGTGAACTACTTTCCATTCACCATCAGATTGCATTTCCTAAACTGAAAGAGTCATTTCTAAAAGGCTGACAAGTTTTTCCCATGCAGAGGTGTTTTTTCCCCAGATGTTTGGAGACTGGTGTTTTTCACTTAATTGCAAACTGTTTGCATCAACAAACAGACATTCTCACCGGCTACAGAATGAAGGAGACGACAGGAAGTTGCTGAAGTTTCGAACAAGTTAAAATGTGAGAAATCGTGATTTAAATTGCATTTCTTCTTTTAATGGCAACATTAGCAGATTATTGATAAATATAATGGAAACACAGCTACAGACAGACAGTGGTGGTGCAGGAATCATCTGGAAGCTGTGAGGCCATCCATAGGAAGGGGTGGGGCCGGGAACCCAGGGGCCGGCCTCTAAAACATCTGATCATCTGGTGGTGAACAAATGCTGATTTCCACAAAGATGAGTAAAAATTCCCAACAATTAGAACCAAAGACGGAACCGTCCACAAAAGTTCATGAGAAGAGCCCAGCTTCCACCACACCTCCCAGAACGACCCGCCTTGGAGACCCCATGCAGCTTCCTGTTGAGCAGCAAACACACTGACTGCCTGTTTTTCTCTTCATGTGTCACTTTGCTCTGAGTGATGACAATCGTCCTCCTTTTCTGGGTGTGAAGAACACCTCATTCTGCCGAGGAGGCCTTTAGGTGCAACGCCGCTGCTTTAGGAACAGATTGGAGATCAGGAAGTTTTCAATAAGTGCCTTAATGTTTTATTTCATGCTTTTTACGATGAACATGCAGCAGAACTTCCTGTTTGTGAATTTTGTGGCTCTGTGAATGTAGGTTTAAATGTGAGTGGAGCATCGGTGGACCTTCTGCTGGACATCCTGCTTCTAGTCGGGTCCCTGAATATCTGCTGGTCAGCAGCCGTCCAAATCCTCCTGCTGTCTACCGAGAGGATCCGCCCTGAAGTATCCGAACAAACAAACCAACGCTGGATTCCTGGTCCAGCCCACTTTTCTCTAAACATTATTTATATATATTTATAATTATAGGACGATATAAAACAATGGAGTAAGAGAACTTTCAATAAAAAAACAATCACAAGCGTCTAAATTTGTAAATGTAGGTTAATATACGTCATTAAACTTAAGATTTGTAGGCATTCCTTGTCAACTAATCAATCTGTGAGAATATAGGTTTAAAAGTTACTACTTTATTTACATGTACCAAGCTACAACCCCTGGTGAGGCTGTTACACTCCTTACCAGTAGGTGGCAGTAAAGCCTTTTTTCCTTTAAGATAAGAAAAAGAAGGTAAACAAAAGAAAAAGCAATGATCGAACATTAACTATGCATTGAAAACAGGAAGGATATAACGTGTGATCGATCAATGGTTTTACTGCCACCATGTGGTAATGCTCATTCAGACCTGCAGAAGCAGCTGGTTTATATGCAAAGTCAATGGTTGACGCGCATCTCGGCGCAGGAAAAGGTCCTGC